CATGCAAGTTCCTCTTTTCTTGGAACAAAACTAAAGAAAATCAATGCAGAAAACTGCCTCTTTTTTTAACTCCACAGCCCCAAAACCTCTCAAATAAATCCTCCCAATTCTGCATTTATCAACCCAGCCATGCCATCATAACAACTGACAAGTGAAACAAGAAACAAGGTTCACCTTTGCACCAAGATACTGTTAAATCTGCATCGGGTGTCATTTAAAGGGGGTGGTCATAATGTTATGGTCAATCTGTGCAATAGCCAAGCTGCACTGCTCTGCTCTAAATAGCTGCATCAAATACAATGCTCAAGTTCATTAAGCTTGAGCATTGATGCAGATGTTCATTATTTAATGATGCAACTGTACAATTAAAGCATCCAGTCACAGGTTTTATATACATGGAAATGGCATCGTAATGAACATATATTTAATATAAAAAAAACATTAACTGCAGCCTGGCACTGTTCCAGTACCACACATGTGCATAAAATTACATAAAAAACTTTTTTTTAAAACTCTAAAGAAGTCTGGAAGTGAAGTGAAAACTGTGTGGGATTAAAACAGCAATATGACAATTGTTAAGCTTGTTTATCTCACTATAGAAATGAGGAGATTTATATACATGCTGACTTGTTAATGAAGGAACGCTGGAAAATAAATTGCTCTTGCGCATTGTTTAAGATGTGAAAGGTACATCAAAGAAGAGGGTTTAGCATTGAAGCCGCATTCCTTTCAGCCTCTGCTGCACATGTATATATAATAACTAATATTCAACCTGACTTCTCCTTTTAAAAGAACAAATATTAAACCCTGTGAGCTACAACCTGAACAAAACTGGAGAAAAAGCTTCTACGGAGGAAATGAAATGATGATCTGTGGCCACACTTTGACTGTCCTCTTAAATCATCAATCCTGAGCTCATCTGGGCAGAATAAACAAGCGACTAAAGGAGTGAGGAAATCAGAAAAGATTTGTTTAGTTCTTTTTCATATGTTTATGTAGATTATTTTTACACAGTCAGTGTCTTGCCTGCAGTAGACAACACTTAGAACAAGCAGGTTAAAGAGTTGAGAAGTCATCTAAAATGAAACATACTCAATATTTTCCTGAATATTTGAGCAAAATCCAGATTACAAATTCTTAAATGTCATTACTTCAAAACAAACAGTTTTCATTGTCACTATCTTATCAACCAAACATTGTTTTTAGCTACTATGCTAACTTCATATTCTGTAGCTGCCGAAACATCCTACCACTGTTCTAATTAACCAGTTGTTCCTCTGTTTAATCTGTAAATTCAGATTTTACTTAGTCCACAAACCGTAGCATGTTTTCTTCACTTTGATCATCAATTTCACTGTGCGAAGAGTGAACCAAACAGATATCACTCTGATACATGACAGACTGCAGGTAAGAAACTGCCTATTCAGATGCACTTCACATACATACCATCACTATAAAAACACATTTGATGGTATGGAAAATTAAGAGAATATTTCATGAAAAACTCTTTCCTCATTAGTGTCAAACAGCAGTCACAGATATTGGAAGAGCTAAAGCTCCCCAGGCCTGACTAATGAGGCAGCTCCCTGATCTCTGAGCAAAGCCTGGATGAAGAATATGTTGTAGGCAGCTGCAACAACAGAAGAAAAGCCAGGATGTGCTTTATCCATGAAAGGAGTCCCACACAGCAGACAGGTGTGGACAAAATCTGGCAATGACGGGACWGTTTTTTTAAGCTGGCATGCCACAACTGTCTCGATTGTGGTTTGGTTTATGTGGTGCTGGRTCATGCACGGACCACCTCTGGCAAACTACATATGGACCACCAAAGGGCCATCATTCTTTGCAGTATATCTGGGCTGAGTGTTATGGCCCTTTTGCATTGTAAGGCCCAGACAGAACTGGCACCAGTCGGCCTCACTTTAGTCTACAACCATTATTGTGTTTGCTTTAAACAGAGTGCTGTCTCAATGTGGTGGGATCATCATAACAAAAATGYGCAAACCATGTTTTGTTTTATTTGCAACACAACAAYAATGGACTATATCAAACTCRAASGAAAAGTACCAAAAGCTGTATTGCGTCACCCAGCGATGGCACTAACAACGAGAGGACATGTCGACAGAGTACAGTAAGCTATTGGTAGCTAACGTTAGCTCGTTGTTGCTTGGTAGCTTGCTACAGTTGTTGTTTAGTTAAACTCATGAAAAATCATTACAGTTGCCACAAATAAGTCAAGTAAAGTTACTTGTGTGACATGAATCCCCCCCTCCCTCCCAGCCAGTGGACCAATCAATGAGCAGCAGTAGCTGACATCAAATCGGGCCGARCAGCCTGGTTCAAATAGAACCACAGGTCTCAGGGTTCCACAAATCAGGGTGGAACAGGGCCATAAGGGCTAATGTGAACTGGGCCATACAAACTTTGYTATGTGAGATAAGTTCTAAATAATGATATTTTACAAAAACAACAATAAACACTAGATTGCAAAGGTATTAATATAAATTTAATCAAATGTTTTGGCCATCAAGAATTAGATCRTGTTTGGTGTAAATCTACCCCTTTTCATGCTGACGTGACATAAAGGCRTGCAGGTCAATCTAGATATTCATTCAGTGTTGCCAGATTATTGGGCTTCTTTTGGACACGTTGGGCTGGAAAAACAGCTTTGGGTGYGTTGTTGAATTTTGGGCTACTTTYRACCAYATTTGRCGGGTTTTTAGAAAGTATTCATAAGGAAATTATATCAAAATATCAAGTGTCACTACAAAATCGTGTTGGTTAATATCAACTGTAAACACACCAAAGAGATGAGACAGGGTTTTTGAGAATCTGAGGACCTACCTCCTCCTTCTGCAAAACGAGGGCTGTTCGTTGATTGTTGTTTGTTTGTTAGTTTTTGTTTGAAGAGCATTGTTGTTTAAATTTATTTTTTGAGAAAAAAGGCGCAGATATTATACGATTTTTTTCTTCTTTCTGTCGCCTTT